ACTTTTCAGGGGTCACCTCCAAAGAAGCCTCTGAAACTGTGGGGCTAAGAGGGGTGCTCATCCCAAAAGGATCAGATTCCAGACTTAAATTTTTTTTAAATAAATAAGTAAATGATAGAAAAGGAATCACGGGAACACCCAGAACATGCATTTTTGTATATAATCTTAATTTGCAGATATTTTATGCCTTAAAGACATATAAAGGATATTTAATTAAATATGCAGGTATCTTTAAAAATTAAGCAAAGTTAAAAAATAAATAAATAAAATAAATAATAATAATAATAAAAAATATATTTTACACCACAATATAAACAGCTTTGTTAAACAGATTTAAGTACAAGTACTTATGACAAGAAATATACAGAATATGTTTACAACAGGCAGGTTTAGCATAAATGCAATGTTGTTGTTTTTGGGGATTTATTATTGCCCAAGAAATCTCTGAACATACTCAGAATTTTTGATAGCAGCAAGAATAGATAGCAGATTACAATGGACACCATTACAATATTGCTTTGCCGATTGATGTCCGAGCTTTAAAGAATAAATAAATAAATGTTCTATAGTTCGCTAGACCACTGGCTTTTAATGAATAGTTTGCACAACACTTATAAATAGTTTGTAATACTGCACATTATAGCTGTGACAACATGATATACAGGATAACAATGCTATGTCCCTGTTTAATAGACTTACCCAGTATTTAAGGACGACATGTTTCTTGCAAAGTCATTGGGACTTTGAGGGAGATTCTAACTACGTTTAATTAATTAACTTACTAAAGAAAAAGAAAAAAGAAGAGGTTTTGTTTTTCCCCTGCAAGTGAGTTTTCAGCGCAAGGTCATTTTGTGTTCACAGACTATTCGGATTTTAAAAAAGCTGTTCTTTATCTCACATTATGAACGGCCTTGTAATTCCTATGCACACTAAAAGTTGGCTTTTAAATGTTATTGTTTTAACTTTAATATTTCATAGTTAATACAGAGAATAAAGTAATTTAAAGAAAATATATTGAAAGTATATTAATTGATAGGATTTCATTTATATATTTTGGTCCATTGTTCACTGATCTCGAGTCTCAGTCTTGAGTTCAAACAGTTTTTCTTATGATACGTTGTGAGTTTATATCCACAACTGCATTTTGCTTTGTGGAAACAAATTGAAAGCCTGGCATTTTAATACGTGTATGGACATGCTTATAACAAAGCATGGTCCCTCTCCTCATGTAGTTGGTCATTAACAGGCACTTTGATGCAATGTGTCTACCAACGCTTTTCTGTGGTCACTGGATCACTTCGCATACCCTATCTCTCAGTCATGATGCAGAGTTTATGCTTGCAAGGATATCCAGAAATAATCCACCTGGTATCTGCATAAATACTCCTATCATTTAGAGGGGTTAATTACATAATAACCATTGAAGGTAATATGTTGGTTGTTCTTCCTATAGAGGAAAGATAGACTTGCCCTAAAAGCTTTTTTATGGCTAGGACGAGCTCTTATAGAGAGAGGTAATGTACTTCTGACTCCTGAAAAGGAATATTGGTGGTCCAATATGGGAAATACTGTAATTCATGTGTTTAGTAATCATAAGCATTTGCTTATTGCCACATTACTGATGTACTGTTTATTGAAATATTAATATCTAACGTACTTTTTGGATTACTATATATTTGAAGTTTGCCAACATCTCATGGTTATAAGTATGTTTTTGTATGTGTTGATGCATGTACCAGGTTTACTTGGATATATCCTGTGCGAAGTGCAACCTCGGATGCCACGTTTTCTAGCCCCACTTCCTTAGTATGCATTTGATAATCCCAGGACCATCCATTTGGATGGTGGTCCTGCAGTTGCTGCAAAGGAAACCTAAAACTGGGCAACCACATTTGGGTTACTTTGGGATTTCAGTGCCCCAACCACCCCCAAAGAAGTGGGGTTGTGGTCTGGGAGAATGCTGAGGTTAAATGATTATTAACCAAGTTACTAATTGCTTGCCCCACACAGTGATATCTATTTATTCCTATGGTACAGATGAGCATTCACAACATACCTGATGATACAAATGGTGAGACACGATATGAAATGTTACAAGTTTTTTCACTGACAATCATATTTCTGCACCAGGGAGAGCTTAGAACCATTGGTTCTATTAGAGAAATTTAGAGAATTTTTTTTTTTCCTAGCCACCTCGCCTTGCACCACCAACTGTTTCTTACTGTTGGCCAGTTTGTCCTGGAGAGGGTGACTCCATGAACTTTTACTACAGAGAACAATCAGAGCTAACAGAGAACAGTGAATTTGATATTTTACAACCTGCTAAAATACTTCCAAGACGTTCACAGAACCACTGACTGACACAGTGAATGCTGTTAAAGATGACAAGATAAATCAAACAGAGGACGACAGAAAAGCCAGCAGAGTCATAGCCATGTAACAGACTGAATCATGATCTGACATCTGAACATGCAAATGTGAAGGAGAAGGATGAATAGACAGACGTGATGCATTCACAGTTAATATGGAATGTACAAAAAAGGAATCATCAACATCATTATAAGAAAGACTCTGGAGAAAACATACTGAACCTGAATTATCTTACACAGTAAGAAAGAAATTCAAAGATGGAAGCAAAAGGATGCTAGAAAATTGGTTATGGTGTCTCCTTCTTACAATCTGCAGCATTATCATAACATCAACCCTAGCTGTCGTTTTAAAACTGCATTGGGATTATGTTAACAAGCAGGAAGCACCTGAACTGAATTGGACTGCACACTATACATGTTCTGTGATCGTGAGGACTACCTCCAAGAACCATCTCAAAAGGAGAGACACAGCTCACAGTGAAATGATTGCTAATGTGACCCACACTGGTATTTCACAAGAAACCTATTGAGATCATTCCAAAAACCGATTATACATGAGAAAGATGTGATTGGACTATTACAAATCCTAACAATGGACTCAATAATGATGGCAAAGCATGCTGAAAACAGGAAAAGATGGAACAGATGATTGTGAAAGACTTCTATTGCTGTATCAACATAACATTTACTATAACGGGATCCATGTCACTTAAGACAATGTCTTGGAAATGCTGTCAATTCATTTATTCCGTAAAAGAATATCGGAGAGTATCCAATCTATACACATCATAAACGGTGTAAAAATGTTTCATGGAAAAAACAAAATAAAAAGCAAACAAGCAAAGACAAAAGACAAAGATAAATACCAACACCATCAACACGGTGATAACAGTGATGCAAGAAATTACTTTGCCGTATAGTTTATCATTGAATGACTAACGCAAACAGCCTTCTTATGCTGAAAAGAAGTGCTATGCTAATTCTGGACATTGCTATTATGTTTCCAGACAGAAGATAACCGGAAAAAGAAATAAAGGCTGCTAACTGTCAACACCCAGCTATTTCTCAAGATGGAACATGGTACTGAGAAAACCTGATTGACTATCAAAGCACCTCACAGTACAAGACACAGATTGTTGCCTACAACTCAGAAAAAGTGGTTAATAGGCAGGAGCAGAAGAAGAGGAAAATAGATTTCCTACTGGAGTGAAAAACCATCCTGGAACAATATTCTGCAACAATGAACTTTACAATGACATTTGGTGGCAAATGAATTTGAATTCGAAAGAAACACATCAATTAACGAAAGAAACCTTGATGAAATTAATAAATAATAGCAAGACTGGCTTACTAAGAGCAGATGCCCTGCCAAGAGAATGGAATATAAAAGGCCAGCAAAATCTTTCAGAAACCTGACATCATGGGACACTTGCACTAAAGCACGATTTGCAGCTTTTCTTAAACTCTACATATTATGTACATACCTACAAAGCAAGGAACTCCTGTAAACATAAACACAGAGACATTGATACAACAAGGAATCTGTAATGGGTCTGTTGCAGATGTGATCTACTGTCGTACTCCTTGCTCTTTTGGTATAACTATACCAATCAAAACGTTAAATGGCTCCATAGAATCAAACAACAAAGATTCTTGCTATATTCTTGACTTCCAGGAATGTGGTGCATGGACAGAAAAAATGTATAATTACTAAAGCAATCATGCAATTTTTTTCCCTGTGTCAGAAATGTGTCAGTGACAATGTGTAATATAATAGAGACACTATAATTAATGGTATAAAATAAACACATCATGTGTTAATTACAAAGGTGGATAGACTTTGTGAATATCTGAAACGCAATTGAAGATTATTGCTAAAATGCCATATGCAGCTGCAGTCTGGCCTACAAACAAATATATTAAACATAACGTATAAGAGCATAGTAGCTGATTACCCAGATAAATAATTGAATCATGATAGTTAAAGATTATATGTTTGGAATAACACCTGCAATAATGAATAATGTTTTAACCTTAAAAGAAAATGTAAAATGTTTTTATTAAATCAGAAACTACTCTAAATTTGTTTACGTTTGCAGAGTGGTATAATTAATATAAGTGAAGTACTTCAACAGTTAAAATTAAACTGAAAGACTGGCAGAAACGTTACTTCACTTATCACAAACCTATATTTACAATGATAAACATATTCAGTCTGCCAGAGCTAGGGCCAGTCAATGGAAAGTAAAAGAGTATTGTGGATTAACCCATCCAGGTGATATACATGATGATTTTGGAAATTGATCATTTAGGTCACCTATTGCAAATTGGTGAAAAGATGTTAAAGATATAAATTCAACATCCATACCACTCTATGTATATATATTAAAATACACATAATTAAATATTTTATCGGTTACCAAGAAAATGTTATTTGGTTTGTGATGGTTAAAGGTACATATACCTTGTGGTAAGGATCTTGCCACATCTATTGATTGTTGAATCAATACACCATGCATATGATTATTAATTCATATTCTGACTGTAACATACCCCCACTTCAACCAGTAATAGTTACAACAGATTCTGATATATATATATATATTATTTAAAAAAAAAAAGTATTAAAACCACTTATACAAAGGTAGAGTTAAAATATAAATACCTGCAATATTGTATCTGAGTGCTTTTTTAACTCACTTTTAGAAATAATAAAAAATTCTAATCATCTTAAGCTACACCCAACAGCCGCTGGTAAATATACTTAAACAATTAAGATTCTCATTGTTAAGCATCCAATCTCACGAACGTAACTTTCCACAACGGCTGTCAGATCTTGGTAAAAAAAAATGTTTTCTAAGACAATATTTGGGGGTTTCTGGTATTTTAAGCCATTAATAACTATTTACTAATAATAACTAGGGAATAAGTTGTCTTCTGCCTAACAGGACAAAGAAAGATAATTAACGTCATATTTCCAATTAGCAACTATTCTAAATATATTGGGAGATTTTGAATAAAATAGTATTTTTAACATTTAAAGAGAATGTAATTTTCCATATCATTGTGAACAAAGGCGGTAAATACTTTGCTGCTTCAAGGATATATAAGGGTGTTTATCTTTAAAACAAAACACTAGAAAGATTAACTATGTTACTATTTCATCTATCATTATTATACAAAGTATAACAAATGTAAAGATTTTTCCACAGATTTTACCTGTTAACATTTTTAGCACAACAGTACCTGATGTCATTGAGATGTCTATCACTAAGATGTTACAAAGATTCCAATACAGCAAAAAGAGGCGTTCTTGAGAATCCACTTTGATTGCTGTATCAACATAACATTTACTATAACGGGATCCATGTCACTTAAGACAATGTCTTGGAAATGCTGTCAATTAATTTATTCCGTAAAAGAATATCAGAAAGTATCCAATCTATACACATCATAAACGGTGTAAAAATGTTTCATGGAAAAAAACAAAATAAAAAGCAAACAAGCAAAGACAAAAGACAAAGATAAATACCAACACCATCAACACGGTGATAACAGATTATGCTGATTCAATATCTGCGACCAATTCTAGCCAAATATTTGGAAAGCTGTACTCTACAACCTATACTCTACAACAAATACCCGGGTATTCTACAAACACAACCTCCAGCAATGTATCAAAGGGATATAAACTTCTACAGGCCTTTAAAGACTTTGGATTACAAATACAATTACTACTTTTAACTTTGGATTACAATTCGTATCCGGATCCATCCAAGTATATCTTACTCTGGAACCTGGTGTTCTTTTCAATTCTTTCCCAGACAAAAGCTTTGCTCATTTTAATCAACCACCTTTACATGCAAAGATCACACTACAGATATTTTACTGTTACAACACTGATCAAAGATGCTGGGAGCATATAAAAGACAGTTGGAGAACTTTGGTTTACTAATTTAAGGAAGAAATGTGCTACAATGCCCACAGTTTAATGGAGAGGCTGTTATGGGCAAATGCAAATATTACAAGTTTTAGAATAAAATGTTGTATTTCTTAAACTGTGTACTTTGTCTTTAAGAGATATTGCAAACTGACAAGGTGTTAGAAATGGAACATATTGTTTTTCATAACTGTTTCTTTAAGCAATAACCTCAGTGCATAATATGTTTGCGCCATTTTGTCCCAGACAAATTACAATAACAATAATGCATAAACAAGCTTCAAGGCTATACTATGACTCTTGCAGTACACAATATACTGTGGTAACCCCAAGTTAATGGAACTTCCCCAAATCCGGGAATCTCCCACGACTGTACACTTACGACTTAGTATAAACAACAGATAACCTATTCAGACTTTAAGATGCCATCTTGAACTAAGTCAGGAAAATTTTCAGAACGTTTGCACCCTTTAGTTATGGCCTTGTATGCTTGCCAAATTAAGGGAGGTCCTAAAATGAATAAAGTAAATGAACTACGGTAACCCGAAAATGGAGACACCTAAGGTATAAATAGGTGTACTTTTAAATGTTAAGACACTGAGGAGAGACTTGGAGACAGACGCTGCTCCATCTTAAAATGACAGAGAGGCTGACATGATGACATGTTCAGAAGGGTATGTTAACCTATTAATGATATTTGCAAGCATGTAATTTAATCTTATAAACTCTGCTATAATGGATTTTATGTTTATATTTTTATATAATAAATATCCAAAAAAGACAAAACTATTGCTTCCAAGACAATCCTTATTTTATATTGTATTCTCAATTATTTATATATGTTAAATAGAGGATCTCTTACACTATATAAAATTATGGCTAAGATATCTGTATGGTTAGCCCTACTAAGTTCTATGCTTTAAGACATTATAGTGGTAAATAAGGGAACCACATGCGGTTACACTTGTAAATGTTCTATGATAGTATATAGTGACGTAACGTCTGCTTTTACTAGAATGTATTCCTTTTTCCATTCTATTTTGGATAAAATTTGAATAATATGTGTAGTATCTCTTAGATGGGATCGTAGTTTTGTGACTATTCGTTTTTAAAAATTTGTCTATATATTCTGATAAGTTCGATATAAGAGAACCAATGCCTGAAATAATTGGGAGGATTTATTAGTGTTTTATGTATTTTTGGTACATGATAGAAGACTGCCATTCTTGGAAACTTACATTATAAATGGTCATATTCCTTTTGATTTCGAATTCCTCTGTTTATTACCTTCTTCTAAAAGTATTAGAAGTTCTTGTTCGAATTCCTTACAGGAGTTATTTTCTAAAACTTGGTATGTTTTTTTCATATTTTAGTAGTCTCTTTAGTTTTCTCTTTTATAATCAGTTTAGTTTAAAATTACAAGACCCCCTCCCGTGTCTATTGCTCTTATCACAATTTGGTCATCTTCCATTGGTTTTTTTTAAAGTGCTCATTTCCTTTTTTTTTAAATTGTCTTCTGTTTTTCCTTTTAAACTTAATGATTTTTTTCCATATTTTTTTCAAAGACCCTGATGTGGTCAGTTTTTGTTGGATAAGGATAAAATGTGTATTTGGGGTGTAAAGTTGTATGTGCATAGTGGCTATCTTTTCAAGCTGTATTGTACTCTTTTTCTAAAAATAATTTTTTGATTTTTAATTTTCGAATAAACTTGTGGAGATCAATATATATATATAACAAATTTAGAATTGCAAGAATTAGGTGCAAATTTTAGACCTTTTTGGAGTAGGGAGGATTTGTCTTTAGTTAGAATGCGTTTGGATAAATTGAAGATATTCACTTGGTTTAGATCTGAATGTTGTGTTGGTATCTTGGCATTCCTTCGTCTTGTTCTCTTCTTAGTCTCGTTTTTGGAGATGGTGATTGAAGATATTCTCTCTATCTGACTTCTTGTTCTCTTGATGACCTCTTTGTGTGTTGTGGTGATGATCTCTGGGTATTTGTTCTTTCTCTCTCTTCTTTGTCAGTCGAAGATTTCCTTGTTCTTTTTCTTCCTAAAAAAGTCCATAAAAAAGAGGGAGGGAGATGCATCTTTTTGTTGTATCTATTGAAATCTTGTGGTTTTTGTGGGGCGGTAGATCAATGTATTTTGTGGATAGATCAATTTCTTGCTGGTGTATTATGTCTGGTGTGTGTAAATGACACTTGTCTTGATGGATATGTAGAATTGGGTCTTGGTTTTGGTGTTCTGATTTGGTTATTGTAGGCTTGTCTATGTACAAAGTCCAGGGAGTCATGAGGGTTCTCTGAATGTTGTTGATGGTACTTGTGATATTTGATTGGTGTGTTTATAGTGTGTGTATTTTTTTCTGTTATTGGGAGTGCATTTTCTCCAATTTCTTTGTCTTCCCAAATCTTAGTCTTCTTTGTCTCTCATTAGCTTCTTTTGTTTTGTTGTTCTTATTTGTATCTCCAAGTCTGACTCTTTTTATTTTGTCCAGCAACGCTACATATATTCCATCTTCTACTTCTGGAATCAATCTTTGTTTCATTTCTTGCTTAACATAAGCTACTTATGCAAAGTCTCTATGTAAACGTGCCATTTTTAACAAGCAGTAAATGTGTAAGGACACTTTTCAGCACTTACCGCAAATTGCTACACTACCGAGTTGTATTGGAACGCAGAAGGGGAGAACAGTGACACGCACACGGCACCTTACAGACACCTTACAGACTTTCATCTACCAGCCAGACTGTAGGACCGTGACCACCACCAACCACACCCAACAACAATCCTTTACATTATACACTTGATATAGACCTGCAAATTGTGAGTTTTTTTTAATTCAACACTTATATTAAAGTATTCTATACAGTAAGCACTATGGATCTCCATCTTATTTCTTTATAGAACGGAGGAAACTATTTGTTACTTAGGACCATCATACATGAACTTCAAGTATATTGATTCTTATCCAGTGTTCATATCACTGATAAAACACCGATTGAAGAAGATTTCATTGTAATTGTACTATATACAACAGCTTGTTCAGTAGACAAACCACAGCTGGCCCAATAGCTGAAGCTATCTGATACAACCTAACATTGTACATGTTGTATCAACATTTTGTTGTGATACTTTCAATAAACTGAGATTTTAACCATTGGAAACATTAGGACTTCCTTATTTAACAACGCATTGGTATTTTAACCCCTTAAGGACACATGACGGAAATATTCCGTCATGATTCCCTTTTCTTCCAGAAGTTGTGTCCTTAAGGGGTTAATTGAAGCATATTAAGTTTTATTTAGCTTTATGCATTTAAAAGACACTGTTCTTATTTCTTAAAGGTATATTACACTTACCACAACTACTCCTGGATATCTATTAGATCACATCTAATACCTTATTTGTATAAAGAGATGGCAAGTACCATAATTGTATTGTGAGCCTTATAGGAAGCCAGTGTAGGGACTGGAGGTGGGTGGGAGGCATGGTAGGTGGGGGTGGACAGGACAATGAGCCTCACCACTGCATTCATTATAGACTGTAACAGGGCATGCTGGAAATGCATGAGAATCCTGAGAAGCCCACTGCAGTAGTCAAGGTAAGAGTGCTTAGCTGGATTTGAGGTGGGCAAAGCCTCGGTCAAACCATAGGTAAAGAAAACAAGATGGCCCAGGCATGCAGGATTGAATAGCAGGCATATATATATGCAGAAACACAGCAACATTTTGACCTCAGTTAAGGTCGAAACGTTGCTGTGTTTCTCCAAATAAATCTGCCTACTATTCAACCCTGAGTGCCTGGGCCATCTTGTTTTCTTTACCTATCAATTGACTTGGAAGGAAACAGACACCGGAGTAACACTTGAAGAAGGAAAGACAAGAAGCTCTAGAATGTACAAGTTAAGTTGTCCAAACTGTTTTAATTTATAATTGAACTAACCATAATAATATTGGCTTATAAAAATGTACATTTATTGTTTATAATAGTAATTTTTTATAACATATTCTTACTTTTCAGTGTTTACCTATTTATTGAGAATTTCATTGCAGAACAATTATGGGATAATAGCAAGATAAAATAATTATTTTATTACTTTGCATTATAGTTCTAGCTCTGGCATAGGCTGGTGAAACCTGCAAATCAAACTAGAAAAGAACATTAAATGCTATTTCTTAACCACTTCCAACCTGCATAAACCTTTCACTTTTTAACTACAAAAAAAGTAGACTTTATATATTTTCTTGGACTATTGATTAAAAGAAAAAAGTTAACTTGGCACATTAAGCACTGCAGGTACTCAATTTCTCTTGTAAGGGATAAGGAAATGTGTGTGTTGTGCCATTGTTCCAAGTTGGTACTTAGAGTACTTGGTATATAATAAGGGTATGCGATTGGTTTTAAATTAGTCAGCATAGTCTGAAATGAGTTGGATATGCAAATATTTTATATGTTTTGTTTGCAAACCGTATTGTCCCTGTATGAGAGAGTCGCTGTTGTCCGATAGGTTCAAAGGCATGGCACCTGATTTATCAAAATTAATTATGTATCCAGCCAGGTCCACAATTGTCTCTAAAAGTTAAAATTAGGGGGATGAAATCTAATGAATCACTTATAGTAAGTAATACATCATCTTTATAAACCAAGATCTTATAGACCACCAGCCACAACTTCAAAGCCTTGATAAAAGGAAGTTCTCTGATTTTATGAAGGGGAGGTACTATTGAAAGTGCAAAAAGTAAGTGGGAAAGAGAACACCCTTGCTGTGTGCCATTTGACAGTGGAAATTGGCAGCAATCGGTTTTTCGGAAAATTAACTGGGCTTGGAAACTCGAATATGTGGCAAAAATTAAATTTCTGTGCTTGTGTTTGGCCACCTTATCAGCTGATTGAGAAATCAATAGGTCTTTACCTTTTTCTTAAATGAGGCTATTTTAATAAACTGACCCCTCATGACATCCTATTGACTGACTAAACAGTTGGTTGTTGTGCCAGGCAATTATGTACATTCCCAAGGATTAAATTACTTGCAACAACATAACATACAGGGATATAATTTCTAATTAGTGGGACATCTGACTGCTATTTTGGGGGTCAAGAAGGAATTCTTTCCTTGTTTGTTGGGAAATTGGAAGTGCTTCAGACTGGGTTTTTTTGCAGCAAAAATATATGTGAGGAATGCTGAACTTTTCAGCTATGTAACTATGTAACTATTACAAATGTGCACCATGCTTTGCCAAACTATGAGAAAAAAATATGATGATGATTGGTTGCCTACAAATGCTATAGGCACCAACACAACATAACTTAATTAAACATTTTTAGTGTACATATCATGCTTGTGTAGATTCACTGCTCAGTTTACTGTCATTTAAATCACTTTGTTTATGCAGCCATAGTCACACCTCCTGCATGTGACCTACACAGGCTTCCTAAACACTTACTGTAAAGAAAGATGTAATGTTTGCATTTCCTTTATTGCACATTCGGTTCAATTTAGAATTTTATCTCCAGATCTGTTAGAAGCCTTCTGTGTGTGGCTTAAGTTCCATTTACAGAGCAGTCAACCTCTGATTGAAAATGAAAACCTTTCTTTCCATGCAGACTGTATGGTGGTATGGCTAGGGCTGCATAAACAGAAACAAAAAAAATGTAACTCCTAAATGGCAGAGAATAGAGCAGTGGTACTTCAGATGCATGATTTATACACGTAAACCGCTTAATTAAACTAAAGTTGGTTTTTATACTTTTAGTATCCCTTTGATGCCCATAATGCCATTATAGTAGCAAAAGTAATCAGGTGAACCCTGAATATCAATAACAGATGATGCTCCAACGTGATATTAAATCCACCAAGTAGAATCCATATAATTAAATTGAGATTCTCACTAAAATAGCAGCAGTACCTAGCATATCATAAACACAAGATGTTCCTTTTATTTCACCTCATACAACCTTTTGGAGCCTTAAAAATCCTAAAAAAGTGACTGTATATGCATACATGTGAGCACATCCAATAGATACAAGCATATGAGTGTTTTCATGGTCTATGTGTTATGTATGTGTAGTACTTTTTCAAGAGTTCTTGGAAAAAAATATTTTTAATAATTCTTAAACATTAAGGTGTTCACAATATACTGAATACAAGCACACTTTTTGAGCTAAACCAATTTCTTGTTTTTTTGCTACACTTAAACCTGTAAGCACTCAATCAATGTGTAATTATTTGAAGGAATCTGCTGTTACACTGAAGCTATTATAATGCTTATACTATGCAAGGTCACTTCATGTTTTTTTATTTCAAAGAAAAAGTGAATGTTGTTCATTTTAAAGGAAATGTTTGATTTGCTGAAATCACATTCAATTTAGTCAGTGCTCAAGTTTACAATTCAAGAAGATGACATATTATCAGACTTTGAGCACAGAGAGAGAAAATGTTCAAAAGGCAATTCAAAGTTTGTAGCATGCAAAAATCCATCAGAGTCTACATTTGTGAATAGGTAACAAGGTTTAAGAAATAAAAGGTTAGAAAATAAGATTATGTTAAACAGTTGGAGATGTTAGTGGAGATTTCTAATCACATATCTACTAGGTGATGTTCACAATTTGATTGGATGAGGTACAGTATTATCCAGGTGTGCATGCTGTCCTTTATTATTATTTTTTTTTTTTTGTAAAGAATTGTAACATCAGATGATTCATTCGCCACTGTTTATTTTATTTATTTGTATTTATTTGTATTGTAAGCCAGTGCTGGATATCTATGAACATCTATATAAGAAATAACTGTACAGTGTTTTGCAGATTTGCATTAAAATTCCTTTAAGTTTTGTTTTAAAAAAATATTTAGAATATTTTTTTCAAATTTTTTTTTTTAAGGCCAAAGGAGTTTATATTGGATCAAGTTTTTTTTTGTTATATTTGCACAAGCACAGTGAATTTGAAGAGACACCAACAAAAATGTATAAAAAGCATAAAGGTCTGAGATCATGTTTTATTTTTTTATTTTTTTAAACACATGATGCATTTAATGTCTAGCATATATATTCACAAAGAAGGTATACTTTATTGTGGTAAAGAATTGCTACTACAAGAGGTATAAAACATACATCTGTCTGCATACATCATCAAGTGTAACAATAAGTCTAACTCGACCTATCATACGAATATTTGTACAATAAGTAATCAGTGCTTGATACATAACACAGTGTGTTCTTCGAGTAACCTATGTCTTTGGCGTGTTGAGTAATGATCGACAGAGGTTGTACATGTATGTCGTAACCTAGACAATGATGTATATAGTACTGGGCTGGGGTAGTATAAGGAAAAGTTGCATCAATCTGTATAAATCTTAAGATCTGAATAACCATCCCATTGTGAGCCTTAGACAAGAGCAGGAATGAAGAGAGGAGGGTGGGGGTGAGGGCAGAAGGATATGGGACTATGCAAAGACTCCGTCTGGAGGGAACATAGTTAGAATGTTTCATGGCAATTTAAGATCTGGGTTCCTTCTGCATATATTCCAACCATGGGTCCCAGGTCTTTTTATAGAGGATGTACCTGTGCAAAATGGAGAGGCTGAGCTCTTCCATGACTCTGATGGAGTCCACTTTTAGGATCCATTCAACCAGGACTCTTCAACTGTGGGTGCTTCAGGTTTCTTCTAATGGAATGGAATTAGGAGGTTGGCAGCTGACAGAAGGTGCGTGAGCAACATAGATGTGTGTCTAGGCAGTGGCATTTGGAATAGATAGAACAGGCCTCTGGTTAAGTGGGATATTGACCCCAGCAATGGTGTGGAGAAGTATAGTTATGTGTTCCCAAAATTTAGCAATTTTTGGGCATGTCCACCAGATGTGAGTTATTGTGCTATTATCCTGATTACACTGCCAAGGAAATGTGTCAGTTGAATATCTAAACTTTTGCAGCGCAGTTGGATTCCCATCTGGTAGTAATGTAGTAAGCATGGTAATCCCTGAGGTATGTTGCATAGCTCCCAGAGTCAGGTATCTTTAGGTATAGAACGTCTCATACGCGGTTGGAGAGAGCCCTGGTTGAAATAGAGAGTTCTGGGTTAGCGGATATAGAGAAGATGGGTGTTCCAAGATCGATTTCAGATTTCCCATGCTCATCCAACTCCTCAGGCAATGATAGTTTGGTAAGTGGCATGTTGTGGGTGTACGAATGCCCTGTCCGATTTATGTGTATATCGGTAACCGGAACATTGAGGCTTTCAGTCTCACCCATTGTTTTGTGGTATTATGGTTTGACCACTCATAAACCCTTGTTAGACATACTGCTTTTTGATATGTTTCAAGGTTAGGGAGTCCCAGCCCACCCAGGGATTTAGGCCTGGTCAGGGTGAGGAAAGGGATTCTGGGATGTTTAACAGCCCAAACGAATGAAGTAAACAGTTTTTTAGATTCTATGAAAAAGTATTTTTGGAGAGAGATTGGAAGCACTTGTAGTAAGTATAGAAAGCGTGGAAGCACATTCATTTTTAAGACATTTACCTGGCACAACCAACTAAAGTGTCGTTTGTGCCACTGCTTGAGATCCCGGGTCACTTCTTGTATAAGTGGTAGGAAATTGAGCTCATAAGTCTTTGCATGATTGCTGGGAAGCAAAACTCTCAGATATTTAATGGCCATTGGAACCCGTTTAAAGGGATAATTTTGTGAGATGACTGTTTTGGTATCTGGCGCTATGTTCAGTGCCAGGAGTTCACTCTTGGCAAAGTTAACATGGAAGTTTGATAGTTTGTTATAGCTTGTGATTTCTTGTAGAAGGTGTGGCATTGTGTCTATTGGATTGGAGACCATGAAAAGCAGGTCGTCCGCAAAAGCCACAATTTTGTGGTCATCAGCACCCATTCGCATCCCCTGGATATCGGGGTTGTCCCGTATACCATGTAGGAAGGGTTCCATGACTAAAATAATGGCGTTCTTAATGCTAACTAGGTTTGATAGTTGTCCCTTTATTTTGAGTCTAGCTGTGGGCATGGAGTAGAGTGCCTTCAGCCATTTTATCCAATTAGGACTGAATCCCATGGCTCATAGTGTGTTTAATAGCATGGACCAGTCTACCCTGTCGAAAGCCTTCTCTGGGTCAATAGAAACGAGATTGTGCTTTGGATAGTTTAGAGAGGTATATCTCATTTAGCAGTTTCGTAGTGTTTTTTTTGGCTTCTCTTTCTAGCACAAAGCCAGCCTGATCAGGGTGTACTAGCCCATCTAAAAACGATCGGATTAGCCAGAATTTTAGTAAATACTTTTAAAGCAACAATAAAAAAACAATAGAAAGTTCTCAATCACCTGTGTGAATCACTCTAAAAACACATTTAACAGTGAAATATACACAAAATACAAAAGTGAGAGCACACGGTATTGCATAAATACCACAAATATATGTTGAATGTGGAATCTAAAAAAAAGGCAAATATAAAAAGACCAGTTTTTTTTTTTTACACAGTTAAAACTTATATGTGCTTTACTAGTCCAACTCACATGTTTCTGAGCCACCTAATAAAGCTGGCTCAGACTAGTAGCTTGAAAAGGAGGATGCAGTGGATAGTAGTAGTAGTGGGTCAAAGTATTCTTTGCCAGCCTCAATAAAGTTGATCTTACACTATAAACATTCCAGGATGCAGTAAATAGGTGAAGAAAAAAAATAAATTATTGGGAAAAAATAGAAATAAATAACCTCACATATAACATAAAGTCCACTGTCCACTTCACGCGTTTCAGCTAACACCTTTCTCAAAAGTGGGTTGTTACCGTCCTCCTTCATGGTCTTCTCCTTTAAACCTTTAGGTTTGGCGCCTTTCTCCAACATCTGTTGGTGATTCCGATTGGTTATTCCGTTTTCGTCATTAGGGTGTGTCTAGGCGCCTCCATTCTATATCACAAAGACATGTCAACGTCATTCCATAATGACGTCATTCAGCAGATGTCGGTTTCAGAGCTATAAAGCCCTTGTTTGGAATATTTCACTCTTAAGGCAAACAGGCGCCATTTTATTGGAGTCCATTTGAAATATACCTTGCTACAAACGAGTATTCTTACTCCTTAGGCAATCTAACGCCATTTTATTGGAGTTCATTGTGTATAAAGCAAACTAAAATTGCAAAATTATAAACACATAATAAACTATATTTTAAAAACAAATTATTAAACACATTATATTAAAACATTTAAACATCTAAAACTATTTATTACAATATGGCCAACATTAGAGATATTTAGTAAAAGTTTATAAAGATAAAAAAGCATCCTAATTGATATTGTAAGATCAAACAACTTTCATAAAAGCCTGTATGAAGATAAAAAATATCCAGCATAATTAATAAACACAATTAATAAAAACATGTTTTATATACATGGATTTATTACAAAATCAGCATTTCAGCTTTGAGGTAATAAGGTGTCAATGTTAAAAATCCACTTTATTATCAGACTTTGAGCACAGAGGCTATTAATATCTCCTCCTCTCAGTGGATTTTAATACTTTCGATACCCATAAAATCTAATCCACTGGCATAGCCCTTATGAACCTCTAAAAAACCTCTAGATACTCTGTGTTGATAAAATTTCCTATTGCTATTGTAAATATGTTCCCTTATGCATATCTTAAGGGTTCTTGACATATTAACATGTATATTACATTTTTTGAGTTACAAGTGATAAAATATTTAATATTGTGTTGTATATTATTAGTAAATAAGGTGAATTTTTTTAACAGTTTTGTTTTTATTCTTTCTTAGTGTACAATTTCTACAGTTATTGCAATAATAAAATCCATTTGTTGCTTTAAGAAAATTATCACTTGATACTTATTTTTTCTCTAAAAAACTCTTAGTTAAAAGCTGTCTAAAATTATTGGCCTGCCTAAAAATAATCTTTAAACCTAAAAAAACCTAATATTATAAATAATATTTAACCATCTGTAACTTTGCTAGGGTTCCCAGGGTGTGCCTCATAGCAGCTGATGTTAGTGCTGCACTCCCTCCAGTATGGAGGTAAGAAAGAATGACTGGTTAACTAGGAGAAGCCCCACAAGCCCAGCTCTTGGGAAAGGGTTGCATATAATGTGTCTCGGTTATGGCTTTCCTAAGCGGTAGAGGGCAGTAACCCTTAAAAATTTGGTTAAGTGAGTCGCCCCCTCTTAATACCCTCTTAATATCGGGCCTCTTAAGGGGGCCTATAAGCTGTAGGAAGTCTATAAAGCATACAATCTGAGTCCCTGAATCTGGACTGTGATTGTATCTGATGGGGATGCTTTAGTCCAACATGTTTGGTGGTCAGTTTCTATCAGTTCCATCAGTTCTGCCCATTGGGCAATGAGGTAATATACAGGTATCCATTATGAATGGTATGTTAAACCCAGTGTAGGATATCCATTATTCCCTTGTGTGCCATAAGGCTGGAGAGGATGAATCCAGAAAACAAAACTATGTCCAGCAGCGTTGTATAATCCACAATTGGGCACATGCAATGAGTCAAAAGAGGGTTCAACTGCATCTGTCGTTATCCTCACTTTGAGAATGGTGTAGATGCAAAGATGGTCTTCTGCTAGGCAATGCATTCTGATATCGATTCCAGATAGAATGTGTACTTGGGAACTTCCACTGTGACTTTGCGATGGGTCTTACGATGCTGGTGTTCTCGGTGATGATGGGGCCTGGCGGTGGTCTGTTGGTTCTGTCCGCCTCTTCTTGCTTGCAGATTGCAAGTGTTGCCTTTGGGTGAGGTGAGGAGCCATAGATGGTGGCGTAGGCAAATACCAATCAGGTACGTGTGTATCCAGGAGATCCAGGGCTCTTGTAAACGGTGGTACATGTTGTGGAGAGGAAATAGTGTATGCAAATAACAGTGTCAGCGCTTATTAGATGTGTCCCTCTTAGATATTCTCAGGCATATTGAAAAACACTGACACTGTTATTTGCATTGTTTTTTAAGAATTTAGGACGTTCTTTTTGTGTTTTAGCTGCTGGTACAAACTACATGCCTATGGTATTTCTATTTATTATATTATTTTGTCTATAAGTTACACAGTTTTAGGTTGGATATTTAGCCATACTGCATATCTTTTTTCCCATGTCTTTCTTTTATTGAAAGTTTTCATTACAGTACAAGATTAAGGTACAATACAAGGCAATACCATATGCACATTGTCAACATATGGCCTGCACGACCCCTTTGTGCTTATATTGGTGCAGGTCCACTGCCAGGCTCACAACATATTATGAATACATATGTAAAAGCATGTCATGTTACAATAGTCTCCTTTAGCTTTAACCAAGCTTTCATACCAGGGTTAGCTGACATATACACCTGTGTTCTTATTCCTTTGATCAACCTGGGACATCCGGCCTTGCTTGTGCCCCATGGCTGCACCCTTGTGTCTCGTCACCCTTCTTGCGCTATCTGTTGCTTTGGCATCTCTCGGTAGAGTGCTGGGATTACTTCAGTTATGCGGGTGCTAGTGTGGGGCTCTCCTTAGTTCAAGTCATTCTGTGCCAGCCATTCCTGTGTCTGCCTTTGACTTCTACTCCCACACCTGTCTAGCCTCACCCTGTACCTTAAGTTGGGTTTGCCTTTGGCATCATTTAAGGAGAGGCATATCGGCCTTGTGACGTATGGTAGAGCACTGTAAGGGGCACGTTAACTTGGAAAGTAGGGGTGGGTAAAGGGACAGGGTTGAAGAGTGGAAGGCACCCTTTATTCATGTTCCTACTTACATCTAGATGGCGGGTGGTAGTTCCGTCTGCTAGTAGACCAATTGTTCTGCCCTGTAAGCACTGGTACTGTTACTGAATGAATCATCTGAGTGCTCCACCTCCCTCCCAGCTTTTCCACTAAGCATAGTGTGCTTTTTCTTTCCCTATCAACCTGTATGCCATGTGTTCATAATGATTGCTTGAGTCTACTCTAGCCCATATTTCTTGTGTGGTAGTGATGATTTTTCCCTTCCAGTGATTAGCTATGCTGGTTTTTCGCTGCTAGGAGGATGTGGGTCACCACCGTGTTGTGTGGGGAGACCCAGATCTCTGGGGCAATGTGTAGAAGAAAACATTCTGGCCTTAAGGGGAGTTTGACCTGGGCGATTGTCTTTATATGGCTTCTCGTATTATAGACCAGAAGGTTGTTAGTTTTGGGCAGTCCCAGAAGATGTGTTTCAGTATACCCGACAGGTGGCCACATCTCCAGCAAGCTGGGGACTTACCTGTAT